AACACAGCTTTCAAAATTTTGCAAATATCTGATAGAAATTTGTGGATAGAGAGAGAGAGGTGCTATTTTAGAGAAAGAGAAGTGAGATTTGCATTGATTCATGGGGATGAATTTATATGAAACTGATCAATCCAAAACATAAAATTTATAACAATAGTTTTATCCATTTTCTATATTAATCTTTTCACCCACCAAATGTATCTTCCAAACCAACAAACAAACAAAATAGAATGAATGGAAAAAAAAAATTAAAAAATAGATTACCAATATCGACCGAAGAAGAGCGGCACCAGCGGTACTTGAGAATCTCCGGAAAGAAATGCGATGGAAGGGAGAAAAGTTGAGAGATTTAGGGTTTGTTGATCAACATGATATTTATTTTTATTTATAATAAAAATATTTATAGTAGTTTTAAAAACTACTATATTTAATACTTTAAGAGTTTTAAAAAATCCTAAATTTAAAATATTAGAAGTTATGAAATATAGTAGTTTTGGTAATCCCTTTGTTGACTAGAATTTAAATTCACCTTTTGACTTAGGCCATTTTTTCAGAAACCCCATTAAACATAAAAAATCCATTAAATCGTTGGCGCAACGACATTTTTGTGTCTGCTGGATAACGTTGACCTTCAGGTGGCATTGGAGGAGGAAGGAATTCAAAGCTGCATTGTCTTTGTTGTGCATACAGTTTGTTTAGAGGCAGATAGTATAATGCAAATAAATTTGCGTAGAGGGGCAGAACAAAGATTTTGTAGCACCCTTGCGTACGATTGAACAACGAAAGTGGTATGCATGTAATTTCTTCGAAGTTAATATGCAAAACATATAATATTTAAGTGGCTATTCATAGCCGTGGATTGTACTTGGAATGTCAGCTAAATCGAGTGGAGGGCAACGCGAATGGCATATAAAGTGAAGCGCAGCTAAATCAAGAATATATAGACAATCCATCACAGATTCAACGTGAATAATGTCAAGTAGGGTTATGCCTAGAGAATTTTGTAGAAGGCAAAGCGGCAGCTTTGACAAAAAATGATAACGCGGAGGTTGCGTTGGAGGAGGAATGAATAAGTGGTTGCATTTTTTTTGTTGTGCATAGGGTTTTTTGAGACACAGAAGTATAAAAGCAAATACATCAGTGTGGAGAGGAAGAAGAGAGATTTCATAGGGTACTTGCGGATAATTGAACAACGAAAGTGGCATAGCTGTAATCAGTGGCGGAGCAGAGTTATTTCGCCGAGGGGGCTAAAAGTTTCATTGAGTTCGAAAATATAGATATTTTATGGTAAATATATATATATTGATGTATTTAATGTTAAATAAATATATTTTTAATTAGGTGTTGAATTGGGTTTTAAATTGGGTGGTTAGTGGATATTAATATATATAATGCATGGGAGTGTGGGTAGTGGATATTAATATATATATAATGCATGAGAATGTGGTTAGTGGATATTAAAAATATATAATGGGTGTGGAAGAGGTTACACTAGAATAGTGTCATTTATGTTAGGATTAATTGTGGTTTTAGTTTGTGAAGTATCCCATGTTTTTTTGTGTGCTTTAAAATGTAGTCCGTTGGTGTATTTAGTGTGTTATGTAAGGATTAATTTGAGAGAAAAAAACAAGTTTTTTGTTTTCATATTTTATAGTGTGTTTGTGTATTTTTTCTCCATAATTTTGTATTTGTATTGGTGTGTGTGTGCTTGTCTCCACATTCGATATTTTACAAATTGATATCAGAGCTGATGGCAACTGTAATGGGTCAAATATCGTTACCACGTTTGATGAAGGAAAATTACGAGAATTGGAGTATTCAAATGAAAACGCTTCTTGGATCTCAAGATGTATAGGAGATAGTTCATGAAGGTTTCGAATAACCGGTGAGTACGGCGGGATATACGGTGGCTCAACAGAAGGCGTTGAAAGAGACGCGATCAAAGGATAAGGCTGCGTTGTACTTGCTGTTCCAAGCTGTTGATGAGTTGGGCTTTGAGAAGATTGCCGGTGCAACAACTTCAAAAGAAGCGTGGGACATTTTAGAAAGAACATTCAAAGGAGCCGACTGTGTCAAGCAAATGTGCCTCTAAACTCTTCGTGGCGAGTTGGAAAGCCTAAAGATGAAGGATTCTGAAAGTGTGTCCGACTATATTACTCGCGTGCAATCTATGGTCAACCAGCTTGTTCGCAACAAAGAAAATTTAACCGATGCGCGAGTTGTTGAAAAAATTTTAAGAGCATTAACCAATAATTTTGAGAATGTTGTGTGCGTGATAGAAGAGTCAAAAGACTTGACGACACTCATGGTAGATGAACTTGCTGCTTCTCTTGAGGCACATGAATAACACAAGAAAAAAAGAAGGAGAAGACACTTGAGCAAGCGCTTCAAACCAAGGCATCACTTAAAGAAGATAAGGTACTATACTTTCAAATTTTCTGAGGAAGAGGGTGTGGGCGTAGAGTTCGTGGAAGTGTCCATGGTGGTCAAGGCAACAATCATGAAGAGGGACAATCAAGCCAACCGAATTGGCGGGGTAGAGGACGTGGTCGAGGAAGAGGCGGCTGATCGAGCAATTATAACATGAGTGCTACAAGTGTCATAGGTATGGTCACTATGCAAAGGATTGCAATTTTGATAAATGTTATAATTGTGGTAGAGTGGGGCATTTTGCAAAAGATTGTCAAGCCGAAAAAAGGATAGAAGAAACGAACAACCTAGCCGTGGAAGATGAAAAAAAAGAGAAGGCTTTCTCTTGGTGGCTAAAAAAGAAGGCAACATCAACAATGACACTTTGTGGTACCTCGACTCGGGGGCAAGCAACCACATGTGCGGACACAAACACCTATTCAAAGAGATGCAAGAAATTGAAGATGGTTACGTGTCGTTTGGAGATGCATCCAAAGTGAAGGTCAAACGACGAGGTACGATTCATTACTTACAAAAAGATGGCTTGATTGTTTCAATCCAAGATGTTTATTATGTACCAAATCTTAAGATAAATATTTTAAGTATGGGGTAACTCACGGAAAAAGGCTACTTAATACTTTTAAAAGATCGGGTGCTATACTTGAAGGACAACAAAGGGCATTTGATTGCTCGAGTTGAGATGGGAAGAAATCGGATGTACAAATTGAATTTGAAAAGCATGCAAGAAAGATGTTTGCAAGCCAACATAGAAGACAAGGCGTCACTATGGCATCTTAGTTTTGGTCACCTACATCATGGTGGTCTAAAAAAGCTAGCAAACAAGAGCATGGTGCACGGGCTGCTGGACATGGATTATGATGGAAATTTTTTTGAAGAATGTGTATTTGGCAAGCAAAAAAAAAAACGTCATTTCAAAAGAAGGCAGAATATCAAGCTAAATTTCCTCTCAAGTTGATTCATACTAGTATATGTGGACCAATCAGCCTTGAATCTTTTAGCGGCAAAATGTACTTCATTTTGTTTATTGATGATTTCTCACGAAAAACTTGGATTTATTGTTTGAAAGAGAAATCCGAGGCATTCGAGGTGTTTGAGAATTCAAAGTGATGGTGGAGAAGGCAATCGATAGACATATCAAAGCCATAAGATCCGATCGCGGTGGCGAGTATACTTCGAGGGCTTTCTTGGAGTATTGTGAGGAGCAACGCATAAGAAGAATTCTTACGGCACCATACTCTCCTTAACAAAATGGTGTGGCCGAAAGAAAGAATCGAACTATTCTTGACATGGTTCGATCAATGATCAAGAGCAAAAGGATGCCGAAGGAGTTTTGGGTGGAAGCTGTACAATGTGCCATCTATATACAAAATAGATGTCCACATGCAAAGCTACTTGATCAAACACCTCAAGAGGTGTGGACCGGACAAAAGCCGACGGTGTCTCATCTCAAAGTGTTCGGTAATGTGGCTTATGCACATGTACCGAATCAACGAAGAATGGAGCTCGAAGATAAAAGCAAACAGTCTATTTTCATTGGATATGATAAGAAGACAAAAAGATACAAGCTGCTCGACCCAATACGCAAGAAGGTGATGGTTAGCCATGATGTGCGAGTAGACAAAGCAAACGAGTGGAATTGGAATGATTCGGTGGAGGCTATTCACGGAGTGAGAGAATCATCAATTGCTACACCAACAAGCATGCCAATACATGCTGAAATTTCCGATGATGAAGACGAACCATGACATCCCCGAATGAGAAGCTTGCAAGAATGTACGATTCGACTAATGAGGTACACCTTCTATGTCTTTTGGTAGGTTATGAAAATATCAGCTTTGAAGAGGCGGTGCGTGATAAAAAAAGTGGCAACTTTCCATGGACGAGGAGATTGAGGTGATTAACCGCAACAATACATGGGACTTAACAGAATTTCTGGAAGGAAGTGTGAAATTGGTGCATGTCAAGTCAAGATCAAGTTGCGGATATGTTTACAAAAACCACTACCGAAGGAACGTCTCAACAATTGCAAGAAAATGATTGGCATGATGGATGGTCGAAGCATTTAAGTTTATGAGGGTGTTTTGTTAAATAAACTTAAATGTATTTTTAATTGGGTGTTGAATTGGGTTTTAAATTGGGTGGTTAATGGATATTAATATATATAATGCATGAGAGTGTGGGTAGTGGATACTAATATAAAATGCATGAGAATGTGGTTAGTGGATATTAAAAATATATAATGGGTGTGGAAGAGGTTACACTAGAATAATGTCATTTATGTTAGGATTAATTGTGGTTTTAATTTTTGAAGTATCCCATGTTTTTTTATGTGCTCTAAAATGTAGTCCGTTGGTATAATTTTAGTGTGTCGTGTAAGGATTAATTTGAGAGAAAAAAACAAGTATTTTGTTTTACTACTTAGAGTGTGTTTGTGTGTGTATTGGTGTGTGTATGCTTGTCTCCACATTATATACTTTACATTTAATCAATATGAAAATATTAATTTGATAAGAATTAGTCGAATTTGAATCGATAGACATCTTCTATATAATCACTAATATAATCGGGGGTCCCGTAAGGGATGCGCTAGTGGTGTAGGGGTTGGAGTTGTGACCGTGAGGTCATGGGTTCAAACCCCCGACACCTCAGGTCACTTGTCACACATGGTTCGCCTAGTGTGACTTTCCCGTCGGGCCTGATTTGCAGAGTATTAGGTTCGTCCGGGGGTTTACCCAGTGTGCACTTTCGGGTAGCGACTGTGGGTTCTCATGTCATAAATTCTCAATCTTCATCTTTGAACTTGTCTCTTTTGCATTTACTTTGACATAAAATCACTGATTGAGTAGTCCTTGGAGCCACTCCAGACTAGAATGTCAACGGTGTCATTTTCCATGCTCTGTTGTTCCTCCCATATTTGATGTGCCGAATTGATAGCAGACCTACTACATCCTTGCAATTAAATTCTACGTAACGGTGGAATATCTCCAATTCCCGATGGGATTCCCTTCCAATGAAGTTAAAAATATTAGTTCAGGCAGCTCGAAGAGTAGGGAAGTGTTCCTTATCAGCTATCCATTGCATGAGATTTGTACACACAATCTTCATTTCTTTCAATCAAAGAAATTCACCGTCAACTGGATTCCATTCAGACCCTTCAGTTGCCCGAATCAATTCAAGTTTCTCAAGCTTGGGTAATGAGTCAATGATCGACATACCACTCCAAGGAATTTTGCGTATGTAGTGTGCCAGACACAGCTCTTTAATTAAGAGACTTGGGAAAGGCAATGTTATCTAGAGCATATATTATTTTTAATGACTCAACATTACAAAGAGAATGATCCCTACTTGCTTCAAACTCTTCGCTGTACACCATTCCCAATGTTTTTACATCAGGAATTTTGTCGATGACATCTTTGGTGCACTTGAAATCCCATATTCCGGAAAGGGCCTCCAGGTTTCTGAGAATAATGAAGCTTTCCCCCTCAAGTTGAGTTGCAGAAACTTGTGCCAACATGAAGCCTGCCCTGTTGGAAATGATATGCCTGAGCTGTGGCATTTCCCATATTTCATTCGTGAAAACGATTCGCTTGTCCAAGAATAGTTTTAGAATCTGAAGATTCCAGAGTAAGTGAAACGTTGGAGCGGGTTTCAACTTACTATAAGTAATATGAACATTAACATACATACCGCACTTGAGTAAAATGCGGAGATGCTAGCTGATCATCATTCTCCTCAAGCCTTGCCCCTTCAACATGTGAATACATCACTCTGCAAGCACCACAAACGGATCGATGAATTACTCTTGAAGATGGTGATGATGGTGATTGGGATAAAAGAACAAATTCCAGGGAATAGTCTGTAGCATCTCCTCCATGGGGAGTTTCCTCGGCAGAAAGAAAGCATTGTGATCTACTGCCATTCGTGTATTGCACCTTTGGCGATCCAATAAACTGCTCCTTGTTAAATTCTTTCAAACACACTTCTCTAAATAGATCATGAATACCGCATTCTTGACCAGACATCCCTGTCTCTCGCATAAAAACAAGACTTCTGGCAACAAGATCTTGGAGGAATTCTGTAGCACTGACCTCCAGACTTTTACTATCAACTTCTCTTATCAATCCATTAGCAATCCACACCCGAATTAGTTCCTCAACACTAATCCTATGATCTTCAGGATAAGAGCTCATAAAGAGGAAACACGGCTTGAGCTGGATTGTCAAGTCCTCTTAACTCAAAGACAATATCTTTTAAGCAATGCTCACCGTGTTCCAGATTAGCATAAGAGATGACATTGTCTGCAACAGACTTCCAATATTTCTTAGACATGTCAGACTTTGCAAGTAGCCTGGAAATCACAACGATTTCTAGAGGAAGTCCTTTACAACTTCTTACAATCCCTCGTGCAATTTCTCTAATTCTGGATATGGGCAATTTTCCTTTGCAAAGACAGTTTGACAAAATAGACTCCAACTTTTATTCTCATCCAAAAAAGTCATCAAGTAAGAGCTATGAGGGCTCAAACTTCTGGCCACATTCGCAAGCCGAGTAGTCATGATAACCCGACTTCTATTATTATTGTTGTTTGGAAAACACATTCTTAAGTCACACCAAGCCTGCTCGCTCCACACGTCATCCATGACGATCAAATACCTTCTATTAAATAATTCTTTGTACAGCACCTCCCTCAACCGATCAAAATTTCCATCATGTGTTGTAACTTTCCCATCATTTGAAAGACATGATAGTATGTCCTGGACATTATACTCTTTTGATATTGTAAGCCAAACACGTCTATCAAAGCGGTCGACAATACATTGGTTATCGAAAACAGCTTTAGCTAGAGTAGTCTTACCAATGCCACCCATGCCTACGATAGGGATGATTTGAAGAGCAGATTCATCTCTAGTCAGCAAATCCACGACTGCATCGACATGTTCATCGAATCCCACAACTGTGTTCTTGCCGAGGAACAAAGTAGTGAGCGAAGTCCCCCCACGCATTAGCACATCCTCTGAGCTAGCAGCTGAAATGCTTTCATGCTCGGAAACTTTTGGTTGTTTTACAGATCGAACATCCTGCGATAAGGCTTCCTCCACCAACAGCTCTGTCCTGATGGTATCAAGCTTTTGGATCCCTCCCTCGATATCTTTGTTGAAAGCTGACAATCCCCAATCCATTTTTACTCCCTCAGATCGAAGCTGAAGTTCATTCACAACATGTAAATCAAAAATTTCTTCAGCTTCGAAGGAAACTTTAGATATTTGCCTCCACGGACCATCGATCCTATTGCCTTCTCTTCTTGAATGAACTTCAACAAAATCCAGCAAGAAGTTTACACGTTCCTGGAAAGTTTCTGTTGATTAATGTGCTATGATGATTAATGTGCTTTGTCTAATTTATGATTTTCATTATATTTTATAGACTCTTGGTTTCTAAGAGATACAAGTAATTATTATGACTTGAAAGGTCTTCCACCTAGAATAAAAGGGTGATAATGTAAGTAAGATTATTAATGAGAAATTATATTCAGTCTTATAATCTTCCTCCTTGGTTCACCCATCATTCAATTAACCAGAGTTTCAATTTGTTTTATGTCAACGTGAAGGCGACGAAGCAGCGCTTGGTAGTGAACGTTGTCGAGGACATGAGTAAGGGAAACCAAGGAAGCATAAGCAACAACAGCAATCTCTCAAATATTAAGAAATCTAAAAACTGATGCAGGAAAATTGGGTTTTCTCAGATCAAGAACTGGGAGAAACATGATACACGAGTAAATGATTAGTGTTTAGTTGTCACAATAAATCAAAAGTAAGAACAATAATTCAAAACTAAGAAAGCTGAACTGATATAAAGTTTGTATGCACTTACAAATTAAAAGATGAGACAAAGTGGCAATGTGAGGCTCACAATCTTATGGAATTCAATAATTATCTGTTATGAAACAAATGCGGAATAAACTTGATTTTATTAAAGAAAAATCAACGAAAACAAAGAAAAGTTTAAACTAGGGCTTGGTTTTTAGGCTCAGCCCCCAATATCACCCACTAAAGCACAAAATCGACACAAACACACATAAAATGCGACATACACAACCAAACCGGCCCGAGACCCACAACCTAGACCGAAAACAACCCCCACAAGTAAGGAAAAACAAAGCAACGGTAGAACAGCGGCCAAAAAGAAAAGGAACCATACAAACCGAAGGCTAAACTCGATGTCGAACCCCTTGCGGTTCGAATCGAGACAGGGGAAATGATAGCACCTCTAATCTCCACAGAAAACAAGAGAAAGAAGCTCGTCGGAGGTCGCCAGAGAAGATCGCCAGAATATCGCAAAGAGAGAAGTGTTTTGAGAGAGGCGAGAGTAGAGAGAGGTGAGAGCGGTTGAGAGAGAGAGTGAGGGTTAGTGTATGCGGCTCCCTCTCTCTCTCTATATATATATATATATAGGTTTAGATCAGATAAGACGGCCAGGGTTAAAACCCTTGATCAAACGATCCACAACAAGTGTAGGTAAGTATATGCGGGTCGGGTCATGTAACCGGGTCGGAGGGTTGGGTCACGGATTATGGGTTGGGGCCAAGTTTAATTGGGCCACAAAATATATATATATGTATGTGTTTGTGTATGGATCCAATAGTCTCCAAAATTATCATCAACCAAAATTTTATAACAATCCTCCACCAAATTTTGGTTATGGGTGACTAGGGTCATCACTGCCCAATAGTTTGGATTACTTACCTGCATAAGAGAAAAAAAAAATTAAAAAACAAGTTAGTTTAAAATACATTAAATTAGCCTACCATCTACACATGTGTAAAACACAGCTAATCAAATGTATCAAAACATATAATTTCCAAACAAGATACAAATCTATCAAGTTTCAAGAATATTGTATCTACAACAGCAGGAATACATTCAAATCCAAACTTCGACAGAACTACATTACATTGTAAATGTGTCGTACAACCAAAACATGTAGCACACAATATACAAACAAATACAGTAGCAAACTTCACAAGTTTCATATCATTCACAACCCATGATAACATAATGCAAAGAAGCCAATGACAAAACCTAGGAACTGATTTCAAACACTTATTATAAACTAATGAACTTTTATCTTCTTTTACCACTAAACATTGAGACTTACTTTCGGGATTAAACAATTTCCTATCACTCATAGGTTCCTCCACATCTAAGCTCTCAAATATACTTCTAGGTAAAAAAGATGAATCAAAATTACCAAACATAGAGAACACTTTACGACTATTCCTAACCTCATCTCTAACAAATAGGTAATTTTCAATCTCATTACTATTATTTGAAACAATTCCAACGTTGCTTTTAATTTCAGAAACTGTATTTTCAGATTTATTCACAATAGGCTGGCCAACACTAGATAAGATTTGAAAATCACCAACAAAAATATCAGTTTCATTGCATAAAGCAAACTCCACCTCATTTTGAACACTATCAAAAACAGTATTAATCTCTCCCTCAAATTTGATATTATCAATTTCAATATCAGCATATTGAACACACTCCGAAATTGAATTAATATCATCACAATTAAAAACATAATCTCTCATTTCCTCAACCTCTGCATTTTAGATTTATTCACAATAGGCTGGTCAGCACTAGATAAGATTTGAAAATCACCAACAAAAATATCAGTTTCATTATATAAAGCAAACTTCACCTCATTTTGAACACTATCAAAAACAGTATTAATCTCTCCCTCAAATTTGATATTATCAATTTCAATATCAGTAGATTGAACACACTCCGAAACTGAATTAATATCATCACAATTAAAAATATAATCTCTCACTTCCTCAACCTCTGCATTTTCGTTTCTTATAACAGTCCCACTTTCAGCAACATTACAGTTAATTACAGAATCAATCGCAACAATTTCAATGTCAACAAATTGCAGATTTTTGGATTCACAAACAACATGCTCAATATCAGTATATTCAAAACGAAAATCAGATTTTACAGATTTAATTTCTCTGTTTTCTATATCAATCAAATTATGTTCCACCTTATTTCCTATACTAGAATATCAATAATTTCAAAATCAACCAATTCAGATTCTCCAATATGCAAACATGGCATACAACATTCATTAAATGTCACATTATTGCTAATAACACTTTTCAAACCGGGTCTAGAACTTAACCACAATCTATACCCTGTAACACCATAACCCAAGAGAACACAATTTTCAGTTTTCATCTCAAATTCATCAATGCAAATATGTATCACAGCATGACACCCAAACACACGAACATTAGATATGTCGACTAACCTACCCAACCACTTACTTTCAGGAATTTCACCATTAAGGGGATAGAGGGTGTTCAATTTAAAAGATAAATTGTTGTTACAACAACTTCACCCCAGAATTTTCTAGGTAAACCAGACGATGTCAAAAGAGATCCAACTCTTTCCAAAAGAGTATGATTTAACCTCTCAGCAACCCCACTAAAATGGGATGCCTTGGGGACAGATTCAAAATTGATACATTTTTGCACACAAAAATTACTAAACCAGGTGTTACAAAAATTTAAACTATTATCAGCTTTAATATATTTAATTTTTCTGCCAGTTTCAACTTCAATTTGAATTTTCCAATTCTTGAAAATTTTAAGATATATCTACTCCCACCATAAGTGGGTTCATTAGAAGGTTCACATAAATCAATATGTATACATTCCAAAATCTGTTTTGAAAAAATATAATTTTCAGGGGTTTTTTACGAAAATTGAACTTTATTTAATTTTTCAGGTTTGCATATATTACAAAAGGAAATAATAGAAAATTTTTCATTTTCCAAATAATCAAATTCATGCAGAATTTTCAAGCCATTATTGCTAATATGCCATAATTCAGAATTATCAATTTCAGAATTATCTATATCTGAACATACATTCACAGCAGAAGTTACATATAAGTCATTTTTTAATTCTGCCCTAAAAATCACTAGAGACCATTTTGTTATTTTCATGCAATTTAAACCCCATTTTTCTTCTAAACCTAAAGTAGATAATCTAACACATGACAACAGATTATTAGACAATTCAGGCACATATCTCACATCTTGCAATTTCAGTATATTTCCAGATTTAAATTTCAGATTAATAACACCAATTCCCTCAACTTTACACACACATTTATCATCCATAGTCACATAACAATGTGTTAAAGTCTTAAACTCAGAAAAAATATTTTTCAAAGGTGTCATATGAAATATGCAAGTAGAATCAACTACCCATTCATTAGCACTCAAAATATTTGAATTTAAATCTGGACAATTTCCGAAATCATTGTCAATAACAGTCATATTGGCTAACTCACTTGCTGCATTACTATTATTTCTGTTATTATTATTATTATTATATTTCTTAGGGCAATAACTAACAAAGTGTGAAGAATCACCACAATTATAACATCTCTTTCCTCCTTTATTAGGAGTTTTAGATCTATTTCGACTTCTATTATTATTATTCTGATATTTTATTTCATTATCAGAATTTCCAGAATTATTATTCCTATTAGATCTAAAAGGAGACCTATCCCTAATAAACATAACATCGCCATATTTATTAGATTTATTTACATTCAAATCTAATTCTTTACTTTTCAAACCATTAATAACCACATCTAAAGTCACAAAATCACGCACATATTTCATTGCCGATTTCACATCAGAAAAAGCACTTGGAATAACATTCAAAAGAATTATAGCACTATAATCATCTATATTCTTATCACTAGTAAGCTTAATATCTTGAATTAATTTTTGAAAAATATCAAGGTTTTCATCAATAGTTTTAAGTTGATCAAGTTTAAAACTAAAGAACTTTTCTAACAAATAAAGCCTACTAGGTAAAGAAGTTTGAGTATATAATTCATCCAATTTATTCCACAGTGCCACAGCCGATTCTT